GCTGCCCGCGCCCATCGCCGTGCACCGCGCGCCCGTGCCGCCCGCCTTCCCCAACAGCTACCACGGCTCGGGCTGGCACTGAGGCGGCGCCGCCGCCCCCTGCGTTTTTACAAGGTTCTGTAACATACACTGTGTATATTTCATATGTACCCCCGGGGTACTTTTTAAAGCTTGTACATGATACTTTGTATAAAAGCGAACACCAGTGCTCTCTCATTGTATTCTTTCCATTTTTTTGCTTTTTAAAAAATTCCTGAAACAACGTGCTGTTAAGCCAGTATTAGGTATTTCTTTTTATTTTGTAAGTGAACATTCCAGCTGTTTTTTCTGGCAGTAGGTTTGATGCTGCATACTCTTTAAAATTTTATTGTTGCAGTTAAATTCATTTAGTGAATGTTTTCTATATTACTTTAATACATATGTAATTAAATAAGTACACGGGCTAAGTGATGGCACTAACATTTTATTTTTCATTTTCTTCTGTCAACAGTTCTTTGTGTGCATAGAGATAGAAAACAATGCAATACAAATTTTTATAGTTTTGGTGTGGTCATGGCTTTCTGTTTCATCAGTTATTTGCAGAAAATGTAATTTAATGTATAGACTGTTTCTAATGTCTCTGACAAGTGCTGTAAATACTGTATTTCTTTTGCTTGTAAAATTGCTGAAAGCTTCTTTCATTTGATATAGTATTGTACATAATAAGTCTCTTTTGCAAAAAAAAAACAAAAAAAGAGGTGTGATCTTTGTGGAAGTAGTACAGTATATGATCTTTAATTTTTTTTAATATACTGTCACATTGCAGCACTGGTTGGGCATTTTAATTCATGTTAATAAATCACAATTATGTCAGTTTTAACCCCGTGTCCCGAGCGGGTGCCGTCTGTTCAGGAGCTGTCCGGGGGGCAGCACCAAGGGGCAGCGCGGGGCCCCTCTCCAAGCACAGGCAGGGCCAAGGGCTGCAGGGCCYGGGGCTGCAGGGCCGGAGCAGGTTCCTTTGTCCCTGCTGAGTCCAGAGGGAGGGAGAAGCTGCTGGGGGGAGCCCGGAGGGTGGGTCAGGTTCCTGACAGGTCTGTCGCCCCTCACACACTTGATCAGCTCATTAAGTTACTCAGTATCGGGGTGTGGAACTCCCTGCCAGGCAAGTTGCGTGGATCTTGTGGTGGGCTCGGCCCCCTCGCCCCCTTCAGCTCCTGTCCCCTCCTGCCCTGCGGCCTCTCGCTGCTGCGTTTGTGGYGGCCGAGGCCTCTCCCACCTCGCAGGAAGCTTGGTGATGGGCTGAGACATTTCCATAACGCRGCGTTTTTAGGGCTGCTGCCGCCGGCCGCGACGTGGCTGCTACCTGGGGTGCAGGTTCGTTGCCCCTGCCGCGTGGCTGCCCAAACGCAGCGGCCCTGGCCGGGTGGTGCCTGCCCCAGCCAAGGGACCCCCCTGGGACCGGCCCCCGAGGACCTGCAATCCCAGGGCAGGGAAGGGCCGGTCCCAACGACTGGGAGAAGAAACATGAAGAAAAGAGGAGAGGGTTTCTGTGTTATTCTACTGTCGGGCTAATGGTGTAGAAAAAGCTGGGGCTACTTAACGTTTCAATCTAACTGTAAACTTGGGGATCATTAGTGGAGGTTCAAATGCCCAGAGCTTCCCTCTACGAYGGGCAGGGCCGGGCAAAGCTCCCAGCTGCTTCCACCCTCCGGAATAGGCCGCTCTGCACAAGCCTAAGGGAGAACATGGGTGCTGAGCAGTGAGAGGGGYTGAGTAAGAAGGAAGGACAGCAGCTCTCGGAGAAGAAAACTCATCTCTGCCCCTCAGTGAGGGCCCCGACCCCCTTCCTCTCGTCCACACACAAGGGGATCATCTCGTCACTGCAAGAGACGAGAGCGGCGAGAGGGGCCCTGCCTGCGGCGGGAGGAGCGCGCGCAGGAGCCGGCCGGGCCAGCCCCGCGCGCCCAATGAGCAGCACACGGTCTGAAAAAACAGAACACTTTAATTAGACAACTGCAAGCACCTCAAACAGTCGGTTATTGGTACAGCACGGGGCCACCGGCTCACAATCTAGTTATTGCAAAGGCATGTGGAGAAGTCTCGTACGGACAAAGTCGAGAAAAAGTGGCACCGTCGTTAACATGAAACCCAGAAATCAGCTTACATTCATCCCACGGACTTCTAAAAGAGGCCAAAATATACCTTGTAGTTTACATTCTAAAATCTGTATCGCCTATAAGCCTCGCTCTATGTAGCTTCTTTTTTTTTTTCTTTTTCCCTAGGAAACACTTAATTTCTGCGTGCAATGTACAGTAACCAATCGTATACCTAGGCATGGGACCAAAATTAAAGCTAGTGCAAATCGGTTTCGGAACGTGTAAAGCTATGAATGGAGGGAGCATGATCCTGCCTGCTGGATTATTTTTCCCGCTGCACTGTCCACACTTGSATCTATCCTTCCTCGGCTGCTTCCAAGCACACACTTCCATAAAACAGCAGTAATTTTACACAGAGAGTGGTTCTCATGCTCAATTTTTAATCTTTTAAGGTATAGTACAACTTACAGTGCTTATAAAAAGGCAACACCATATGGTACCATGTCTTCACTATCACATTGTAAGGGAAATTGCTATTTGTTTTTCTTCTTAAAAGCACTTAAAATAGGCAAAAGTTCTAAAAGGGGAGTGCCATCTAATAATGCATACTTTATTAGAAAGAAGTCGAGCCTTCCTTTAAAGTGCCATTTGGGGAATGAAATCCTATAAACCAGAGCCATTTTGTTTAAAATCCAATGAACGGGACCTGCTACAGAATAGAAAGTTTACACAGTTCCTTAAAGCAGTGTAAAGAAGTCCACTACATGCAATCCGTTGGCTATAAAGCTCTCTAAAACTCGGTAGCTTTAAGCTGAAATTGAGTCCCCAGTCCCATATTTAAATGGAAATAAACATTTACAGGGTGCATTTACATACACTATAATACAAGAATGACGTCCCTTTGCCGGAAGATAAAATTGTACAATTCCTCGCCTCAACTCAGTCCTGCCTTGATAGATTTCTTAACGCTTGTAAATTATATAATATGCATCAGCTAAAATATTTCTTTTTCATAAATAGTTACAAAAACTCGCCAAAACACATGGAGGGGGAAGTTTATTTTTTGTTGTCGCTGCTTTTTCTGTTTCGCTTTTGTTCAAAACCCTGACATCTGGATGCCACACAACACAAGAAACAAGGCTTAAAAGACACGTTAAGTGTTTTCTGAAGAAAGTGGGTCAGTAAACTACTAGCCGAAGACGAAAGGACTACCCTTCCCCAAGAACACAGTGCACGAAAAGCAAAATGTCAAACAGTACCTCAAGCAAAACAAAGGTGTGAGGCTGGCGGCCGGGCGGGCGCGGGGCCGCTACGAGTTGAGCCAGGGGTGCCGCAGGCACTCGCCGGCCGACGCGCGCTTCTCGGGCACCATCTCCAGCATGGGGATGAGGAAATCTGTGAACTGCGCGGCGTCCTCGTGGGGCCAGCCGTACTTCTCGACGAGCACGTCGAAGAGGCTCCAGGGCTTCAGCTTGGTGATGTGCCGCAGCTCCCCTGCCAACACAGACAGCGCCCGTGAGCCCCAGCCCGGCCCGGCSCGGCCCGCGCGGCGGCGCCGGCGCCGCCTCCGGCCTGCTGGCGGTTCCAGGAAGGCGACGAGCGGGTGCGGAGCGGCGGCAGCGCCGCGGCCTCCCCACGGCGCCGCTCCGTGGGGCGCGGGGCTCGCGCAGCCGCCCGGGCGCAGCCGCCAACCTGGCGCTACCCGCGGGCGCAGCGGGCCCGGCCCGCGGCTGCGGCTGCACGGGGCTCCCTGTGCCGCGCTGAGCACCGGGCGGCCGCGCAGGCAGCGCTGCTCCAGTCGCCGCGTTGAGCTGAGCTCTGAACTGCCACCCGGGCAGCTCTGCTCCAGCCCTGGCACTGAGCTGAGCTCTGAACGGCTGCACAGGCAGCTCTGCTCCAGCCCTGGCACTGAGCTGAGCTCTGAACAGCCGCGCAGGCAGCTCTGCTCCAGCCCTGGCACTGAGCTGAGCTCTGAACTGCCACCCGGGCAGCTCTGCTCCAGCCCTGGCACTGAGCTGAGCTCTGAACTGCCACCCGGGCAGCTCTGCTCCAGCCCTGGGTTTGAGCTGAGCTCTGAACAGCCGCGCAGGCAGCTCTGCTCCAGCCCTGGGTTTGAGCTGAGCTCTGAATGGCTGCACAGGCAGCTCTGCTCCAGTCGCCGCGTTGAGCTGAGCTCTGAGCTGCCACCCAGGCAGCTCTGCTCCAGCCCTGGCACTGAGCTGAGCTCTGAACGGCTGCACAGGCAGCTCTGCTCCAGCCCTGGGTTTGAGCTGAGCTCTGAACAGCCGCGCAGGCAGCTCTGCTCCAGCCCTGGCACTGAGCTGAGCGCCCAGTGGCCCCCGAGGCCGGGCCGCAGCTCGAGCGAGGCCCACACTTCCCCACAGCGAGCACCAGCACACAGGGGAGCAGAGCAAGCCCTGGGGCGCAGGGGCTCCTCCCCTGGGCGCCGCGTTTCACCCGCAGCAGCCGGTCCTGCTGCGCGCGGAGCAGGAGGCCTCGGAGGCTGCTCCTCCTCCGCCTGTCCCACACACACACAGGGAGCCAGGCAGGCCCTGGCGCTGCCCCCGAGGGGCTTCTGAGATCCTGGTGCTGACTCTGAGATCCCCCCAAGCTTTGGGGAGGACAGTGGGTTCTCAGCCCATGCTAGGATGAGATCATGTGCGATTCCCATCTCCTGTTCCACACAGATGCACGCACGCTGCACCATCTTGCAGCCACGCTCTTCTCCAGCAAGGAGGTTTGGAAACCCAAGGGCTGCCCGGGCTGAGATGGGCTTCGTGCAACTGCAGCGTCCCTGTGAGACCCAACTGGCGCCCCTTCCCTGGGCAGCAACCGCGAGGCTACCGAGACACCCACCGGCTGCGGCTGCTCTGACACGTTTGCACCCGGGCACCCAAGGGAAACACTTCGGATACAACTGTAAGGGAAAGTCACTGACAAAAGGTTTTCACCTGGATTTTTGATAATGAAGCACGTAGGAAATTGGCCGAGAGGATAATGGGATTATCCCAACTGCCCCCCCAAGTTGGGCCAAAGTGGCCACAGTGAGAGGCTGTCCTGGAAAAGGAGGCTTTAGGACAGAAGGAAATCACTTGTGTCTCTTGGGGTCTGCTGAGGTGAAGATGCTACTCCATTCTTCTTTGTTGGCCACAGCACAGAAGAACAGGGATAGTCTGTAGAAGTTGTGACCAATCTGAGATGCCTCACCAAGAAAGAGCAGGATGGATTACTGAACCGGAGGAGTGGATGACACCAGGAGCTGGAGAAATGGACGTGGCTGAAACTGGTGGAAACTACCACAGTTTCTGGGAAAAGGCTCCATAGGACTAACACAGAACATGCCGTACGGTCCTACGTTACAGCAAGGGCTGGAGAGGAACCTCTCCCTTCCCTCCCAGCGCTTTTCCCAAGCAGCTTCCCTCAGGAACCTGAAGGAGCAAGGCCGGACGCCCTGCGTGCGCGGGCTCARCAAGCCCAGACAGAGGAGGAAAACGGACAGACCCAGGTCTAGAAGGTGAAAGAGYTTTAAATTCTATTGCTAAAGCGTTAAGGATCTTTAAAGACAAACTGGCTTCCAAAGAGGCAACAAAGAAGCTATTCCTGGACCCAGGATAAATCAAGACAAGACCTTACAAAAGGAATATATTTGTGTTATTATGGGTAACAAGAAAAYAATATTTTTTTAAAATATTGCTACCTGAGGTCACAAACTGCTTCATGCAACCACTGAGAAARAAGGCCTTTGTCCTGGTAACTCATTAGCTGGCAATAACTTAACATTGTTGCATGGGGCCGCAGCGGCACAATTCAAGCGCGCGTGGTTTGTCTCTGACGAGGAACTTGCTTACGGACAGCAGCAATACTCTGCTTTTCTAGCTTCTGCTCTGCAGTGTTAGTCTGTACCAGAACAATGCAAAAGTCCTTCAGCGACATCTGGTTAAAATGCTCTTAGGCACAAAATAGAGGAAAAAAGAAAAAAAAAAAAGATGTCTTGATTTTACTTCGGATTTCAAGTCTCGTTTTTCCAAAGCAGAATCGGAGCAGCGTTTCCGAGTCTGCGTTGGCCCCACAGCAGCACGGAGTTGCCGAGGGCTCCCGGGAGGGCAGCCCGGAGCAAGGCCCAGGGCTGCTCCCCACGGCACCGCCGCATCCTGGCATTCACATTCCTCTCCAAAGCCTTCCAGCTTTCCTCRTTTATAGCCTTTTTGTGATAACAGAATTATTAGTGTCATGGGAAAACACCACTTGGGCTGTTTGCTCCATCATCTTGTATTTGTTATTTTGCTCTTTTCCACTCTGCTTACAGAGCAAGCTTCAGGTGCCTCCATCCCACCAAGCAGGTGCCTCCAGGTGCCTCCACCAGCTCCTTCCTGAGGTCTGGGCCTTGCAGCACAGCAGTGAATCTCTCCATTCCCCATTCCACAAACCTCTATCCCCCTGCAGCAACCTTCTCCTCTCCAGACCATGTCCACCCTTTCCGGCTGCTCCGGGAAGTGGCTGCTCCACCAGGATCCTGCAGCCCGTCTTCCCCTGCCCCTCTTCCCGCCTCGTGGCCGGGAGGAGCCCCCTGTGGGCGCGCGGCGCCGCCTCCGGCCTCACGGTTCCCTCACGGCTCCCTCACATTCCCTCACGGCTCCCTCACGTTCCCTCACGGCTCCCTCACAGTTCCCGCATGGTTCCCTCATGGTCCCCGCATGGCTCCCTCACAGTTCCTCACAGTTCCCTCATGGYTCCTTCACGGTTCCCGCACGGYTCCCTCACGGCTCCCTCACRGCTCCCTCACAGCCCGCGCTCCCCGTCCGGTCTCCCCAGGGCCACCCAACACGCGACACGAGATGGCGGACGGTCACAGATGGCGGCGCGTGCAGAGCTCCCGCCACGGCCCTGTCGGCCACGGCAGCCTCCTAAGGCCGAGCTTAGGAGGGGGCTGCAGCCCGTGGGGCACCTCCTGCCACACATCCCCGYGGCGCTGCTTTAATCCCCACCGAGAGCCCACGCCGGACACATCATGTCACGCACAACCAGAAGGGGTGACGCTCAGCGTCCAACCAAGCCCGAAGCTGTAAGTGTTACTGGTGACTCCTCACACTCACGTAGGCGTTCGCCGACAGACTCACAACAGCATCAGCTAATATCCACTTTTTTGCTTACAACACAACAGATTTTAAGGAAAAAAAAAAAAAAAAGAGAAAAGAGAAAGGTTTGCTTTTCTTAGGCGGCCAAGTTCGCACCAAAGTTCTTCTTTCACAAGAGCTCTCCATTTAAATGGACCTATTTCTTCAGCACCCATAAATGAATGAACATATTCTCCTTTTGGATAGTATTATGCTTTAAATTAGTGTTGCATAAATACCGTTACCTTTTTTGGTGAAAAACTCCTTGGAATATTTCCCCAACATAGCGTATTTTCGAGGGATTTTTCCCAGCAGTTCAATGATCAATGCTATGTGGTCTGCATTGGAGAACATTGCCAGCAAAACAGAAACATACAACAGTTTAATCAGTACATTGCATGCACACACTAACACTGGCCCGGTACAGACAGAAATAGATTGATCCTGGTAAAACAGACACGTGCACACCAGTCAGTGTGTTGAGAAGGCTAACGGGGCTGCTTAGGAAAAACACTTTGAGCAAAATTCCCTTGTCAAAAAGACATCTGAGCATCAGCTACTATATATGTGTTTTGATATACAATTTAAAATGTACTAGTAGTTTTTTGGGGTTTTTTTTTTTTTTTTTTGAAGTTTAGCTAAAGAAGTTGAGTTTGTCGAGCTTTCTGCCTCTAATTCATGTGAATTTGTTTTGCAAAAATATTTTTTTGTTGCTAGATTTGAGAAGATGCTCTTTCGTGGGCCATGTTACAACCAGCAACAGCAATTCCACTTCTGTCTGCATCACGGCACCTTTCAAAAAGAAGAGGTACTACCTCTGCGATTGAAGAATTCCCGAGAATATTTTCCAGATAGAGCAAAGTGCCTTGGGATATTGCCTAGCAGCTCTATGATGTGTGCTATGTGGTCTATGAGGGAGAGAAAAAAAGGATACGGGAGTGGAAGGGGCAGGGAAAGGATGGGATAAAAAGAAGAGGAAAGAAACTGGAATTAGTAAAAAATCAGAAATAGTTTCAAAACAACAATGTTTGCAGCAAATCCATGCAGAGGTTTCCAGGATCAGCAGAGCTCTGGCATCATTAGCAGCACTTAGGAACAATGAATGATGCCCACGTTACCACCGCAAGGGCCTTTACAAGCAAACAAGCATGAAAATGGACAGGTACACAGATGGAAGCAGGAGTTAATTCTGGTTTTWAAAAAATTAGTAATCGCCTAACTCAAGTAAAAATACACAATGTAAACATTATTCTAATGTCAAACTTGTAAAGTTCAATTTTGATGTTTCTTTCAGAAACTAAAAAAARAAATTGTTATTCTCAATCAGGTTTCCACACATATGCAGTCTTACAAGAAGGGCAGTTTAATTCCTTCAGGCAGGTGTTAGGTAGATGAGTATCTGCAGAAGGGAGTTTTTGCCCACCCTCTGCTGCTGGTGGGACTTAAAACTAAAAAGAAAAAAATTGTATTTATATTCTAAAACTGATGTGTATGAACAGTTCAATCAAATACAAAAATTAACCCCACCATAAGTTTGCTAGAAATTGAAGAAGAAGAGTGTGAAAACATACAGAAACTCGTAGATTTCTCAAAAGATTCATACCTTCRTCCCTGGAATAGTCTTCACCAGAATGTGGTTCAAACAAATAATCTCCAGTTGCTAGCTCAAATGCCTATAATGTAACAGATATATTTATGGGTATGTCAGAAATACTTCTTTTAATTTTATAACGTCAGTAAAACATGACAACTGTCTTGGAAGCAAGAAAAGAATTAGCTTTGAAGTTAGTTGCTTGCAAGGCCTGAAATCAGGCTGAAGAGTCAGGAAAGGCTCCTTACCTGGAAGCGATGGCATGAGTGTCATTCCCAGCCATTCCCAGCCTTTCCCAGCACAGAGCCAGGCTGGACATGGGCAATGGGCATGGAGCCTGAAGGCCTCCCGGGTGCAACAAGATGCCACATAGGGAACACGGACCAAGGGCACGTGTCCAACCAGCACCTCCGGGGGCTTAAGTGGCTCCCTGTATTTCTAGTATTCCTGGTATTCTCAAAAATATCAATCCCCTCTCTCAGAAAGTGGGAACAGGGCTTCAGTTATTGATAAACAGTTATTGGTATAAGTTATCGATAAACACATTTCAACCTGCTAACATGTTATGTGCTAGTCATGCCAAAGAGGTGGAAGTTGATGGAACTCGGAGTCATTCCTAAGAGAATGAAGAGCTGCACTTGTATCTGACGCCTTTATCTTCCAGAGATTCAATGCTGGAAATGGAAATTTAAAAGTCCAAATTGGAAATAAAACACATTTTTTAACAATAATTAGCACTTTGCACTGGATAAGCTCTTTCCTCCTTGACGACTCTAAAACTCAAACTTTTTTAAAAGGATGTTTTTGCTGCTTCAAAAGTYATCAAAATAAATACTGCAATCGTGGGGTAAAATACTACAATTGATACTCATGAAGGCAATCAGAGCAGGTACCACGATGACAGATCCTTTCCATCCTTGTATGGATGCTAATCCTGCATCAAATCAACGACCAAACTCTCAATAGAGCAGAGTTTCTCATTATGAACATGCACCTTAAAATCCTCAAAGTAGAAAAATAATGATGAGAGAAAATATTTGTATGTAAACAGTGACTAGTCTAGACAAATCTGGAGAACATTCCTCTCTCCAGGTTTATTCTCATAGTACTACACTACATAGACAGCCAGAGGGATCTAATTCCTTTAAGGTTGTGTAAGTATCAAGGTATTTCCTCTCTTCASGACCAGAAAAGTATTGGAAACTTACTCCAGAAATCAGTCAGAAATTTCTGGCATGGCATTAGGAGGAGATTCCACTCCAGCAGATCACTTACTACACGATATTTGTTTCCTGAAAATAGACATGCTTTTCTGTTCCAACTCATAGTCCAGAGCTGTTGAGTCACCTGTAAATGTAACCTATTTACGGGCACTTGGCTTCCTCAAGCTGTGAACTGTGGCGTGATCCAAGTGGTCTGTTGCCAGAATAATTTATTGCCATCACAAATGCCAGTCTAGAAAGCAGACATGTCCTTCGTGGACATTTCTGTCAATCCTACAAACAAATCTTCAATTTCTGATGTCACTAATAACCAAACTTTCACATTTTTTCCTCTACACCGAGTTCCAGATTGACAGCTTTCACCACACAGCTTTAAAAATCYTCAGAAATTATCAGGTGCTTAAATTAAAGCTTTTACATTAGCCAAAATACATCACTGGTGAAGATCTCTAATTTGAATAGGTAGCACATTGTTATTATAYTCAGATGCGACTGTGAAAACCGAAATGTTCCCTTCATCTCAAAGGAAAAAGAGTCATTCAAAAAGCTGGGACAGCTTTTCCAGAACACACATTGCAGCATCTGATTTCAAAGGATTTTAAGAAACATATACCTATTAAATACAGATTYGTGGAGAACAGAGGGCATGTAGCTGAATTTCGATGCAGACACATAGAAGTTTCTAGTCCCATAATGAAGTATTAGTAGCTGAATGTGTCTGAGATTAAAAAGATTAAATTAGGAAAACTATAAAACTGTTCACAGAGAAGCGCAAGAACTAAGTACAAAAGAGTGGCATGCACACCTCTTAAATTTGACTATATTCATTTAGAAGTAAGAACTCTCCAAGATTTAGGATATTTATACTGTCATTTTTCCTGGGCAGAAGCCTTTTTTCCCCAAAGTTTTGGTGCTGCTTCCTTTCCCTTTCCGTACAGCTTTGTTGGTGTGCCCAGGATGGGCTGGAATTGCAGCTTCTTAGACAGAAGCCCAGAGCAGAYGGGGCTGCAGGGCCCTGGGCAGGTTGCTCAGTGCAACCCTTCCCAAGCAGGGTCAGCTGGTGCAGGTTGCCCAGGCTTAACTTGGTCTCATCTTGTCCCAGGCACCACTGAGCAGAGCCTGGCCCCATCCTCTTCATGCTCTTCCACCACCTATCTCTGAACATTGCTAAGATCCATCCCCAAGTTGATGACATGACTCTCCTAAAGGACCATGTATGAAGAACATGGGAACATCTGGCTCAGCTGCACACACAGAGGTAATGCAGAGACAGCCCTGCCTCTTGGAGGTGCAGTAAATACCTCTAGCAACAGTCCTCATCACCYACTTGGCCTGTGGATTCGTCTGCAGCAACCTGGTAAGAGGTCCCTAGATATTTTAGGATGGACTCGTTCCATAATTAAAAACAAACAGAATTATTTGGGCAGCATTAAAAAGAAAAATATATCCTTGACCTAGATTTTTACCATAAACAAACACAACCAGACTCAATGTTAAAAATGCATTAATGAGCAGGTGAGCAGCAAACAGGACACTGGGAACTGCAGCAGTCAGGATTCTTCTACTTGCTAAATCAGCATGAAAACGTGTGGTGCAGGTTTTGGAGCCCTATTCCTGCCTCAGTGCAGACAGCAAGTGGCACCAAAGAAAGGGAACTTGGCTACTAACGTCCACAGTGGCAACTCCAGAAATACACTGATGTTTTGCACTTACTTAGCACATTTCTGCATTTATAATCTCTTTATAGGAACTGCAGGAACACAAAAGCACCGGGTCCCCCTTAATTCACAGCTGGCTCAACATCTGGGGCAGGATGGGGACCTGGAGCCCCAACCCATTGAGCTGTTTGGAGCGAGCAGCAGTGCTCTCTTGTGGCAAGGCAGACTAACCACATCCAGGCTGTGCCAACAGCAGCATTCCCAGTTCATCCCGGGGGAACAGCATTCCCCTCTCCACAGCACCCACATGGTCCTATCTGGAGAACTGTGACCGCTTGGGGATCCCCAGCAGGGCACATGGACAAGGTGCTGGGAAACAGGCAGCGTGGGAGCAGCGAGAGGGCAGGAGCTGTGCCCTGGGCTGCAGCTCCATCACCCGGAGAAGGGAAGGCCAAGATCTCTTTTGAAAATAGCCAAAAAAATAAAAAATTTGGAAAGAAACTCTTTGAATTATCACAATCACTTTTTGCTGATTTTGACATACATCTCAGCAGAAACCAGTACTCCAATTTTTAAACGAGAGCAATAAATACCACATGGCATATTTAACATATGACACAAAAGCCCAAGGCAATCATCCAGCTTTACAGGCTGTGTTTGCAAACGTGACTTACCACTTCCTCATGGTTAGCACAAAATCCAGTCTAAACTACAACACCTGGAGAACCTTTCAGCTGAAAGGGCCACACTGCTGCTCCAGCGGCTCTGGAGAGGCCACCCTCCCTCTGTCCCTGCCACGTGACTGCAAAGGGACCTTCCTCCACAATGAACTGCTGGAATCACCTACCACTGGAAACAGCCACATTTCCAGTGTCTGACAGCAGTGTTCCCAGTCTGGTGACTGGAAATGGAGGYACATCTAGGTAAAGGTGTCTGGAAGAGGCCTGGATTCATGTGAACTGCATCAGGTTGCCTGCAAACCTTCTATGAAGCCCTAGCTGAAAACGAGCAGCAAACCATAGGTCAGAATCTACTACTGCAACTAACCAGATCCAGCTCTAAGCCAAAGTTTCTCCACCCAGTCAAAATGAAAAGCTGTAAGTGAGAGGATTGTAAAACTGCCTCAAAAATAGGYTTTGTCTAAAAAGTCACTCCCCCAGTTAGGTGGGAGCAGAGCAAGAGCAGCAGAAGGCTGTTTGGGATGAGTACTCTGGCTGACAGTGYGTTTGCTCCTCAACACCTCTCCCAAGAGTCAGGCAATGGAAASAATATAGAAGGAACCTGCCTGGTTACCGCCCTGGACGAAAGGCCACCCATACAAAGCACAGACACTCATGGGGTGCTTGAAAAGGAAGCAGGTTTCTCTTGCTTCCTGCTCCCTGATCTCAGAATCATGCAAATACCATGTGGTTGCTCTGGAAAGCCACTGTATCTTCAGAAAAATCATTTTCTTTTGAACGTTTCAGGTTGTCCACCCACCACCTTCAAAGCAAAAGGGTGTACAGTGATTAATAACAGCATTTTGCACTGTATCTGCCTACTGAAAAATATGTGCACAGAGACTTGAGTTCTTCTTTTCTCCCAAGGATATTTTTGGGCAGCCTGAGGCTTCTCATCACACCTTCTGTAGGTGCCACACACATGTGCTGACATGGTGATACTCATGAACCTATGAAGACATGATTATTTCCTCCTATTTACAATACAGAAAGAGTAGTTGCACTTAGGACACTTGTTGTCAGCCTACAGCTATGGGCTACAAGCTGTTGCCTCATATAAAAAGGAGGTATTTCAGGAATCACAGCTCTCCACAACAACCACCTCAGAAAGAAACTAGAAGAATATTGTCTTGCTGATGTCTTAACTTGTGACTTACTCGGGTCCTCCCCACAGCCTACACAAGATTATACAGCCTGGACAACAAAACTCACATGACAAGACTCATCATTTCAGGTGCTCCTCCCGTCTCCAATCCAAAGAGCCTGGAAAAGCAATGGGATTATGTTGCCCACAGCCATTTCCAGGAGCAATGCAAAGGGATGCCCTCTCTGCTAACACCAAYTGCCTCATTTTGCCAGGACTTCTTGGCAGCAGCAGGGGAGTCCTGTGTGCCACGGCCTTCTGGATTTAGGAAATCTGCCACATCATGCAGTGCCTGTTTGGCTGATGCTCCACAGAAAGCAATAATCCTCTAACTTCTGCAAATGTGGACATTCAATCCGAAAAAAACAACATGACCAAGAGTGGTTTCAATTCTGTCAAAGGCATCACTGGCTCCAAATTGGCTTTTTTTTTTTTCAGAGAAAACAAGAGTGATGCACCTCCATGTCAGCATATCTAGAACAGGGCATTTAATAACTGTGGGGGGAGACTCCCCAGTGTCTAGCTCTGGCATAAGAGCAGTAGAGGAGCCCACATTTAGATAAACAGGCCATGTTCTGAAA